CCTGTGTCCCTTTTCAACCAGAGACCAGCCTGTGAGTCGCTCTGTCCGGGGGAGGCCGGATGCAGTGAACAAGGCAGGGGCCACACATGGCATATGAGGATCCCAAGAACTAGAGAGCCGTGGCTCGGTGTCTGGGGCTGGGAACCCAGCTTGCATGGCTGGGATTCTGGGTGAGGAGAGCTCTGGGATCTGGGAGATAATCTCTGCCCATCGGCCCCTGCATCTGCCCGTGGCTGGGGCTGGCCAGGAAGTCCAGGGCTGGGTGGGTGCCTGGGTCTGGCTCTCACAGGCTGTCTCCTGTGCACAGATCCCAGCTTACCCAGACCCTCCATCTCTCTGAGCCTCACTTCAGTCACCGCCCCAGGGGCAGACGTCACCATCCGGTGTCAGGGGCAACGCCGGGATGTGAGGTTCTTCCTGTACAAGGCTGGAGACCGGAATCCACAGCAACAAATGGACCCTGCTGGGGACGGGGCCGAGTTCCGCATCCCCACCGTGGGCCGGCAGCATGGTGGGATCTACAGCTGCAGCTACCGGCCCCAATCAGAGCCCTTCGTCTCCTCAGAGCCCAGTGAACCCGTGCAGCTGGTGGTAGCAGGTGAGGGGCTATCCCCGCTCCCAGCCCCACAACCAGTCGGGTCCTTGGGGGCTTGGCACTAATAGGATGCTCAGAGCTAGGCTCTGCCCTGTGTCCTGGGCCCAGCAGAGGGGACACCCGGCTGGGGTGTCACTGGAGGGTTCCCCAGTGAAGGGGGACCAGCAGCTGCTGGAGATTTGGGGCTGAGGGGGATCCTGGACCCCAGACATCTGTCCCCACTCTGGGGACACACAGAATAGTCAGGGCCCAGGGGCTGCTGAGCCAGGACGGCCTGTCCCCTCATGAATGACAGTGACGATTGAAGCTGAGTTGGGGGGGGGTCACTGAGTTGCTGTTTCAGCCCCTCCCCCCATCCTGAAAGACACTGGTTCTATTCCCACAGGGGGAACTGACCCAACCCAGCCTGGAGCAGCGCCAGCTCCCACCCAGCCAGGTACCAGGGCCAGGCAGGGAATCACCATTGACCAACCCTGGAAGGTTCATGCTGCCCAAGGAGCCGCCCCTGGGGGTTGGGGCTGGTTGGGTGGGATGGAGGAAGTGACTCCTGGTGCATGAGCCCAGTCCCTCACCACTGGATCCCCAGCTCCTCTGGCACCTCCTGCCCTGTAGGATGCTCCCTGGAAGCTACTGGGGTATCACAGGAGATGGACAGGTTCTGGGGGGGCCTGGATATGGGGTTGGGACCAGCTGGGTGCCTGGGCGGGGCCTGCGGCTCGGGTTGCCAGGTGTCCGGTTTTTGACCAGAACACCCGGTTGCAAAGGGACCCTGGCGTGGCAGTTAAAAGTCAAGGTAGCTCCTAGAAAGCTGCTGGTATCTCCCTCCGGCTCCTAGGCGCAGAGTGGCCATAGGGGCTCTGCGCACTGGCCCTGCCCCAAGCACCGGCTCTAAAACTCCCCAACTCCCTGGCCTAGCCTGGTGAAAATGAGCGAGTGAGTGAGGTTGGGGGAGAGTGAGAGACGGACAGAGGGGGATGGAGATGGAGTGAACTGGGGGTGGGGTCTTGGGGCAGGGGCAGTTTGTCCACCAGGACAACCGCTTTGTTGGGGAAGCTGAGGCCCTAGAACCAGACCTGAGGGACAAGGGGGGTGGGGGCTGCAGTCCCGGGGCAGCGCCAGCTGCTGATCTCCCCGTCTGAGTGACTGAGTGACTCTCCCCTTCCCCCTGCAGCAGGTCCCTCGGGGTGCCTGGATTTCACCACGCCAACATCA